GAGACAGTGCGATTGGCACAGGATAGAGCGGAGTTTAGGGCTGTTGTACATAGGGTTACTATGAGTCGCAAGCAACTCGACGGCACATAACAGCAACAACAACAACATACTTGTGTCATGCAGATGACACAACCATACTTGCTGAAACTGAGGAGGACCTGAAGCATCTTCTGTAGAAAGTCAAGGGCTACAGTCTTCAATATGGATTGAAGATCAACATCAAGAAAACAAAGATTCTCACAATTGGCCGCATCTTGATAGATGGAGAAGAGATTGAGATTGTTAACAATTTCAGTTTGCTCAGGTCCACAACTAGCACTCTTGGAATCAGCAGCTAAGAAATCAAAAGATGAATTGGGTTAGGAAATTCTGGCTGTCAGAGATCTCTGCAGAGTGCTGAAGTGCAAAGATATAGTGTAGAGACTAAGGTGCACCTGATCCAGATCATGGTCTTTGCAATTATTTGCTATGCATCAGAAAGCTGGACGATGAATAAGCATGACAAAAGAAAAATTGATGCCTTTGAGTTTTGGTGCTGGAGAAGAGTGTTGAACTTACCATGGACCACCAAGAGAACAAACATGTTTGTCGTGGCCATGTTGAAACAATGTTGCTCTCTGGAGGCAAGGATTTTGAAGCTCTGTCTTACATACTTTGGGCATGTGGCAAGGAGATCTTTGGAAAAGGACCTCATGCTTGGAAGGGTGGTGGGACAGCACAGGAGAGGAAGACCCCAGATGAGATGGATTGACACAGTAACTGGGGCACTGAGGACAGGTGTGTCAGAGACAATGAGACTGCCTCAGGATAGGCCAGGGTTCAAGCTGCTGTGCATCGGGGCATTTTTAGTTGCAGGCAACCCTACAGTTCATAACAACAGCAACTACTACAATGGTGCAGGACAGGATTACCCTGAAAGGTCTTCTAGGCTGTAATTTTACTGGAACGAGTTTACTCAGGTCTTTTCTTCCACAAACTTCCTGGTGGGTTTGAAACAACAACCTTTAAGTTAGAAACTGAATGTTTAACTATTGTACCACCTGAGTTTCTTAAAAACCAAGCCCTAACAAATTGCTTCTAATTCCCCTTGACCCTCTATCAGATTTTCAAGGCTATGGGTCTTTACAAGAGGAAACTGTCCATCTTTTTATCTCAGGAACAGCTGGTAGATTTGAACAGCTGAGCTTTGCACAAGCAGTCTGACACATTAGGCTCTGTAACAAAGGAGCAACCACACCCCAAACAGAGAGACTTGTTTCCAACTTCCTCAACCTGTCTGCCCACAGGATCCTCTGGAGACCATGACAAATATAAAGAAAAGGTAAAGAAAGGGGTAAAGCAATAAGAAGAAAAGTCATAGATGCAAGGAGAAAATAAAGAATTAAAGATGCAAAGGGTTGGTTATGGGCAGCATGGCTAGCAAATAGCTCAAGGTGTCTATTCGTCTGTGTCTTATAAGATACCTTTCTTTTCAAACATTCATTTTAGTCTGACTGCAGGTCAGAGTGTGAGCAGTGCTCCTTGAGGACACAGGTCATAGCAGATTCCATTAATCTCAAAAGACTTCCTTGGCATTGGGCGGCCTTTGAATAAACAATGGTGGCAAGATGGATTGATGCTGAA